GGTTGAGGGAATATTCTGTTCGGGATAGCGGGATTGAAGAGCCCTAGCTCTGTGCACACTATGCCACTGACCTCAAGAAATAGCCGTCATGACTCCAGGCACGATATCGGTTTCATACGGCCGGTATCTCTTCTGAAAAGCCTTCGAGACTTTGCTCGTCAGTTTTTCACCTAAAAATTGAAATATCCTGTCTCGGGTTTGTTTCAATTTCAGTAAACGCCACTGAAAAGCTAGCTAGCCTGAGGAGTTTGATCCGTCATTCGTTAGGATATCGCGCATTGAACGGAAAGCAGAGAGCTTACCATTGTTAATATCCGATCAGCTCATTTACATTGCTTATTTTTGGTTATAAAACTCAGTATTTAACGTAACTCAATTCAACAATGAAATTGATTGCAGACCTCGATTTTCGGTGCTAATTAAAAATCCAATAAGTAGTACTTACATGTGCCATCGACGGGTAATTCGTAAAGTCAACCCTCTTGAGAAAGACAAAGACAAAGCCTGCCAAATTTTCGTTGTTTTAATTAACCACTAGATTTTATTGATGAAACTTTCCAATTTCAATAATATCTGATAGAAAAATCAAAATGTTTTTTTTTCACATGCAGATATTAGCTTTAATGAATTTATGATGGTTATTCCCAGCAAGAAGATACTGACAAAATTGACAAGGGTTTATCCGAAGATTCGTTTCTGCTTTCGAATTAAGTCCTTGAGAGATATCGTAGAAAACATTAAACAAATCTACATTTAACTTTTAGCTATTAAACACGGCTCCATCGTGGTTTGTACAATTCTATATCATAAACATATCACCATACAAATTGGCAACTATTTCATATATTGCTCCAAGGTTTTCTTTGTTTTACTTTGATTGGCTTACCAATTGTCACTTGATATGTAGCATTATTTCCCCCAGGTAACCGAAAACAAAATTAATTACTTTCTCCCCTTGAAACACTTGGCCACGAGCCCATGACTCATTCTAAAAATTTAAATAAAGCTCTGGCAACCCATCGCGGAACTGAACAGCCACCTATACAAGTTTACTTTAATTCTAGGAGGTTGTACTTGAGTATCCGGCAAAACAGTAAAACGCAAACATCCATTTACCTAGTTTCATGATTTATATTTTCTAGGAAATTGCTTTTAGCTTTTTTGATCAGTTTCCGGCACAATGAGGAAATTGGTATGCATGCACTAGGAAAACAGTGATTCTAAAAACACAGATGTATACAGTTTGATTTCATTGCCTTAGATTGCTAGCCAACTATTTTCCGTCAGAAATGATCTTTTTTTTATATTTATGAATGAGAATAACTAAACTTTAAGACTGGTACGTAAAATCTTTGAAGATTCCCAGGAGATGGTGTGGCCAGAGTGTAAACAATGTTCCGCTAAAGCTGACTTGCACGAGTGCTTGTTTACAACCGCTTTTTGATGTTCTCTGAGCCGGGTGGCTCCCCGATGTAGCTTTTGTCACAACCTTGACAGGAAATTGAATAAATTGCGCCACGAGTCTGATCTTTCGGGATTGGGTCTTTTGGTTTGGGAAATAAATTGCCGATGGTATGGTGTGGTTTCAAAGCAACTTTGACATTGTAATTGCTTAGGATTCTTTTAATCGGTTCCGTAGTGCCCTTGACATACAGTAAAATACAGAAACCTTTTTTGTCATCCGGTGCAGTTGCAGGCGTTTGTTGAGAAGGCCGTTTCGGTTTACTTGCATGAACAACAAAGCGTTTCGGGTAGCCATTCGACCTGAGTGCCGCGATCACATGTTTCATTTCCTTTGATTGTTGGTCAACAGAAGACGGGATAGCTTTTGCACGATCAGTCAGAGACTTCACCACAGCCCTTTTCGTGAGCAGCCGGATAGACATTACATCGAATTTTCTAGCAATTGGCTGAAAACATCCATTGTTTTCTCACCCTGGTGTCATCGTGAGTCTTTGTACTAAGGGAAGCTATCGGAGTATTTTTCACTATTTTTTTACTTTTAAAAACACGTTACACGTACAGACTCACCGGCACGATTCAGTCTATATGTAGGTTCTGAGGTACGCGGTCTGTTGAGCCATAAAAACTGCAAAGAATATAAACAAACACTTCTACATAATGATATGACGTTTAAACATATATCTGTCCTTTGAATCTTCTGGAAATTGGTGTCAATACACTAGGACAGAAAGTGAATCATGATCAGGAAATATTTGAGATCACGGCTTATATTCAGTCCATGATGGTTCGACTTTCATCTCAAGTTTACCTGCTGTTTCTGCACCCCTTCGTTTTGCTCTTTTGCCTTGCACACTAAACGGAATTAACTAAATTGTTTCCTACATCGCTGTTTTGCTAACTCGTCAATGACTCTGTATCGTACCATTCTTAGCCTTTTTAACCTTACAAGGCTGGAAAGTGCCTTAAAGTTTCGAAACTCTCTAAATTTCATTCAGATGATCGAGACGATTTTGTGGGCATGCACCTGATTAGTTGAAAGTGCGTTTGATTTTGTTGTTATTTTTTGATTGGGAAATGTCTACTGCTCATATATCAAAAACTTTCAAAAGCCAGTAATCGTTAGCGCTCAGATGTACGCGGGAGCTTGGAAACCAGCCTTAGTAAGAGCTTCTCGGTATTGATCTCAAACAGCGACATTGCAATTGGTTTCTTATTTTAAACTTAATCTCCGCCTCAGCCGTATTTGAAACATGTAGCCGTTTGAGACTGATTTCCATACCAGCGTTGCGATCGCTCCAGAATACGTTAAGCGATTCTTAAGACTTTCAGTTTCCATATAATCGTTACCATGGCTACAGGTTAATAAAAATGCCCGAGAAGACCAAGATCAAACGAGTACGCAAGGTATTCTCGTACATTTTTCATCGCAACCATCGCTACAATCGATGGAGAGAGGTTTCCATATGATCTCTGTTATCGCTACGATTCTCTGTTGAAATAAAACATTAACTGAGATGTGCAACGTGCGCGTTCCGTTGTCCAAAAAATGCCGGCACTTTCCACTAATCTCCGACGTGGCACTTTACCACGAATTTTTCCAGTTTACTATTAGGAATGTCGTTGAGTTGCTTTTTTATAGGTATTTTGATGAAATAAATCTAAGCACAAAAGTCTGGTTACCAGAATGATCTAGAATCGGAACTTCCATTATCATCTTAGCATCTCCATTCAAACCCATTCAGACCCGGCCTTCGTTGTTTTGTTTTGGAAGCCCCTTTCAAAACGGTTAATTTCCCGAAAGCTATTGGTCCCTTTTTGCTCACGTGTCTGTCAGCTCAAGTTTCACCCTAACACGTGCTCTAGATCAGATAGTGTTGTTCATAAGCGCTGCCTTGGTGATTAGTCTTACCGTCTTATAATTAAGTATAGCGATGACTTATAATTTGCGAGAACGAGTTCTTCGTGATTACGCGGCATTTCACGAAGGGCGGAATGTCGACAACGATCATGACATGACAAACGCCATTTCGATTGTTTTCATTTTGTTCAGAATTGAGGAAACAAGGTTCTTTTGGCCACATTGAATTTTGGAAGAATTTTCAACCAGAACTCACGTAATAGTGAAAGAAACCTTAAAGAAAAATGATCTTATAAGCGGAAAATCTAATGTATCCTTGCTAATAATTCAAGTGCAAGCATACAAATTTGTAGATTTTCTCCACGCCGATATGCAAACTTCCAATGAATACCCAGACCACCATTTGGTCTTGTCGCGTAAACGTGATGCTTTCATCCGGTAACGTTAACTGAAACAGCTGAGAATGAATGCTAATTTGAATAAGAGCGCAACATCACACGTCACAGTGATTGTTTACATTTTGCCATATTAGCATACGACTTAGTGCACATACGGCATCATGTTAGACACGGAATGACTCATTTTACTTATTTGTTAGCTCTTTGGGTGTAACATTGAACGAGAAATTGGCTTTCAAACCCTCCCAAATTTTTGCGTGGAAAACCTTCTAATTAAAGGGCATATATATATGTTCGTGGAGAAACTTGTGTTTTAAAACCGTGGGACTGTCAATTAATCGAGCCATTTTTTTAAAATTGATTAGAGATTGCATGACGCGCTTATGCTTAGGAGGCATATATTGTAAACAAAGATTCCCCTATTCCCACACAAAATTGAAATATTCCGTTGGGTGTCCTTGATGATGAAAACTTCGTGTCTGAAGGTAAATTATTAAGCCATTAGCGATTGGGTTTACTTTTTAACCAGTTAAATGGCAGAAAACGCCGGGTTAAGGCAACGTCGGTTAACATCTGGCAGTATTTCAACGTATTTTTTTTAAGGTGTTTCGGTTTAAAAGAACATATATATTATTTGTCACCAAATGGACAATAGCATTTTGCTAACGTTCGTTAACTATTGTACTTCTTTTCGAAGTGCAGTCGGAATTAATCTAGCCGAAGACAAGAATAGATTTTGCGTCTGACAAAACTTGAACGGAAAAGAATAAAAAAACATTTGTTTAACGCTCGTCCACATCTTTCTCCTCTTATTGAAGAAATTTCCCTCCAATCTGTGCTTTTATTTGAAAATCTCACGGTATGAGTAAGCCATTATTAACTAACATAATGACTAACAGAAATATTTTCCGCGGTTAACTGGCGATGAAGTTTGTTGTTTGCAGCTCTTTAACTGAAAAGAGTATAATCGCTAACTAGAAGGTGATACTTGGTCATAATCATCAGCTGAAGAACACGACAATCAGGGCCAAACCTCTCTCAGTGAGTACCTGAACATTATTTACCCGTTCTTGTGGTTAACAAAGTGATCAGTCATCAAGATGAACTCTAGCGACACAGACCTGGTAGGCACCGCCTCAAACAAGGTGCTTTCTGAGTATTTTTGCCCAATTAAACCTATACATATTTGGGTTTTAAGCGACAGAACCATGTTCAAGGTTACGGCCGCAATTACAATCATTCTTTTTCCCGTGGTAGTTCTCCTAAACATCTTAGTTATAATGGCGGTAAAAACGAAAAGAGAGTTGAAAGAACACAATTCGAACATTCTGTTGGCAAGCTTGGCCATAGCAGATCTTCTAACTGGCATCATCTCCATGCCAGCAACTATCAGTCTAGATGTGCTACTTCTTCTCAAGCGGTTTTTAAACCCCGATGTTTTTTGTATGTTAGCTTTGATAAATGAAACGATGCTGTTTCTCGGAGGTTGTTCGTCTACGTATCATCTAGCTGTGATTGCTTGGGAGAGGTACGTGGCGATAAGAAAATTGACAGAGTACAAAGTCATTGTCACCAGAGGTCGTGTTACGAAGTATGCAAGAATTGCGTGGCTAGTAGCGGTGGTGGTAGCGTTTCCACCGCGCGTAATGAAACTAGACGCCTTTGAAGTCCCTTACAAGTACCGACAGATTGTCAGCCTGGTCGGCGTTATCCCGGGAGCTGTGTCCATAATACTGATTGGTTATTTCTACATACTGGTTTACCTCGGTGTGCGCAAACGGAATGTCGACGCAATCACTGAGGTCCGTTCTCTGATCAAAGCCAAACTCGCTAGAAAAGTGGCCAAGACGACTGCCATACTGACAGGTGCTGTGTTTATCTCGTTCATTCCGTCGGCGATCTACCTGTTCTTCGGAGAAGCTTATCCCCTATTTCGTAGAAGTTCGTATTTCCGTTGGTCGATGATGCTGGCTCACCTCAACTCTGTCTCTAACCCGGTTCTTTATTGCTACAGGGATCGGCGCTATAGGGAAGCAATGCTGGAGATTTTAAAGATCAGAAAGCCAGCACCCGTCGTAAAGAGAAAAGTAAGAAGAAATGACTCCATTAAGTCATTGGAAGATCCCCAAGAGAAAGACCGCAAACCAAGATTACGAAGCTGCGGCTCGATACGAAAGCTGCCAAACACAGATGACAAGAAGACGAAAGGGAAAGTGAAGCGGGAAAGACGTTCATCAGCTCCATAGTGCGAAACAAGCAGAGTGGTTTGTGTCGATGTACATCAGCCAAAGAACATGAGAACAAAACCAGAAGAGCAAGTTAAAGGTACCTGGCATGATAACATACCCGAAATGATAAGATCAAAGTCTTTGGATGAGCGAGAGTTAGCCAGGATGATTGGCAGCCAACGCCAATGCCGACAGAAAACGACACGAAGAGCGAAAACAGCACCATTGATGGAAAGAAGCATGAAAATCTCAGAATGTGAACCAGATGGTTTTAAAAGAAAACCAGGACCCAAAGTTGAAAGTAGTGTGACCACAAAAGGGGATCAAAGTCATCTTGAAGACACTAGCAGTAAATTTCAAGCATCAAGAATCCGTGCGTCACTTAAGCCCTCAAGCCCTCTGCCCAAATCATCCCGGCACCGTGAAATAACAAGATCAAAGTCCCTAGCAGGGCATGAATACCAGCAGAAGGAAACAATACTTGGACCCAAGAGAGCGCTATCAACGTCAAGAAACAAGGAAATGGCAACTTCTAAACTGACTGGTCAGACTGCACTTACAAGAAAATCGCACCTCAACGTTAACAGTGGTGTGACAACAAAAGGAAGCCAAAGCCATGATCTTGAAGACAACACCAAACGGCTCCATGCTTCAAGATTCCAGGCACCGCTTCATGCTCAATCCTCAAGCCTTGGACTTAAAGGCTCCCGGCACCAGTACCACGAAGGCATAAGATCAGAGTCCTTGGATAAACATCACCCATTTGAGATGGAAATGCAATCAGCTCAAAATTCGGCAGGAAGCGATATGAAGACCCAAGACATCGTCACGAACTTTACTGATCAGCAAAAAGATAGTCCCAGATGGTGAACTACCACAAGGAACTGAGGTACATCAAAAGTTTAAGGACTGTCAGGCCTGGTTACAGACGTGAACATTCCATGAAAGGTCAGGCTGTTTTAATTAAGCTATAGTTGAGTTAATCACATATTTAGAGTGTTTTTTTTTTGGCTTTCTACTATACATTTACCGTTGATTTGACATCGCGTTTTCGTCAGACGTTAATTCAGTTACAAAGAAAACAGAAACCGATTATTAATTTTCATGTGGAGAGCTTTTTTGTGCTTTCTGATTTGCTCTTTACGTTTCTTGTGATTGTCCAGATGTAATTAATTTGGTTTTGGCTTTCCAAGAGTCATCGAAAACCGCTCTAGGTGTATTCATGAAAAACTCCGTAATTTTTTGAGAGTTTCTAGAGTTGCTTCCTGAGAAGATCTTGACATACATAGGGCTTTGACGTACATAGATGTAGTAAGGTGCAGTACCATTGAAAGCTTTCCGATAGCGGACCCGGTGGAGGGGGTACTCCCTTATATGGGCTATATAGGTATGTGCGGCCCCAGAGGATATGGTTTTTCAACCGCTTTGGTCATAAATAGGGTATCAATTTTAGCTGATTTTGGCCTTGTTGGTCATAAATAGGGTATGGTTTTTGCACTCTAGCCTTGATATGGGTATGTTTTTAAGAGGAAGCCATTTTTTCATCATTATCGAAAAGAAAATCAACAAAAGCCCTTCACAAAT